TGCATATTACTGTGGATCGGGACATCCTAAAGTCTAGAGCTGGATGAATACCACCCCCCTAACTCCCCCACCTCCCCACTGAACCAGCCATAGCAGGATTTAGCCATGAGAGTTTTAGTATTGAGGCAAAGAACAGCTTGTCTCTGGCCCTTGCACAGGTGGGCAGGGCGAGGAAGCAAAGTGGGTGCAAGATCTGCAGACAATAGCAGTCTGGGGAGTGCGGGGATGGCTTTCTTGCCCCAAATGATCACAAAGAGGAGGAGGCAGACCTATGTCCCCTCTTTTCTCCATTACCATCCTATAGACTTGGCCAGGAACACTGGGGGAAGTAGGCTGCAGCATCCCAGCCAGTGCTCCCCCATTGGGGTGATATAGTTCTGCACCACTCCACCCCCAATGTGGGTCAGTGGCTAAATCCCACAGTATGGCCCCAAATGGGGCACTTCAAATCAATCGTATCCAATCCAATCACGGTCTTGGGACGACTGGGCAAAGGGGTATGTGATTTGTAGCTCAAATCTGGGAATGCCCCAAAATATATACTATTCTTGTCCCCTCTCCATTTCCATCCCCCAATATGGCTATGCCTTCAGAGAGACGCATGGGCTAGTCCGGGTTTGAACATGGACCTAGGAATCAGGGTCTTCAGAGTTCTCGTTATGGCTTTGACAATGATGCCCTCTGTGATCATGGGCAACTCACTCCCACTTCCTGCCTCAGTTTTCCAGCTGTAAAAGGGAGAAGATAACATCCCCTACCTTGTAACAATGGTAAAGCACTCGCCATGTGAAAAGTGCTAGATATATATTTGCTAAATTATATTAATTTTCTTCCTTGCCTTAATACACTGTTGCAACTAATGCTGTGTGTGTGTGTATTTGTATTTCAGAAAAGGTTCCATTATTGTTTTCATAATGGCTCCATTATTATCAATGCAAAGTCACCTGACATAAAACAAGAGAAAAGTTCCATCCACTCCCATTAGAAATCACTCCGTTGCCAACAACAGACAGGAAATACAAAATGTACTTATGATGTCCCGCTGTGCTGGAGTTCTCTCATTGCAAGGAGGTCCTATTAGCTTTCTCATCCCCTGCAGCTAGGAACAATTCTCAACTCTCACAAAGGAGAATCCATTCAATTCATCTAACAGCCATTGAGGCACGGTTCTGTATATTACTCTTTTCTACTGGTATAGGCCATGTCTATATCTCCATTCCCCGCCCCCCCATTACACCAGCCCCGTGGACTGTATAATCTTGTTTTTTCTAATATTGTTCAGGAGCTGTAGCATGTGCTGCCTGTTGATTTTATATTCTACTAGAAATAGATTTGAGAAGAGAATGCAAACATCAGCATCAACAACAAAAAACCCAGGCAAATGAACCCTCGGCATCTGTCCTTTCCAAATTTAAAGTCAAACATGGCCATGTGAGAATATCAGTATCCAGTGTTACCGTGTTTGGTGTTATTTTCAAGTAAGCGCTAAGATGAGCAGGTGTTATGAGCCCAAATCACTCACTAAGAGTATATCTATGTTGCAATTAAAAACCTATGGCTGGGCCATGCCAGCTGACTCGCGCTTGCAGGGTTCATGCTGAGGGGCTGTTTAATTGTGGTGTAGACATTCGTGCTTGAGCTCTAGGACCCTGCGAGGTGGGAGGGTCCCAGAGCTTGGGCCGAGCCAGAACATCTACACTGCAATTGAACAGCCCCTTAGCCTGAGCCCCACAAGCCCGAGTCAGCTGGCACAGGCCGCACTGGTATCTCATTGCAGTGTAGACATACCCTAAAAGGCTTTGGAATATTCCAGCTGGAGTCTGGAATGAAGGACTGTTAACGTACAAAAGGGGGTCACCCATGTTATGCTGCTTGCACACAATGGAGGGAGCACCAGTGAACAAAAGTACAAAGTGAAACTCATGTTTCATAGATCAGTATAAATTCACAGGAATCAGTCTCCACCTGATGCACATGCCTGTAGCTCTTGTTAACGCTGGGCCCAGTCCTGCCACCTCTGCTCAGTCCTTACTCAGGCAAAATGCCCACTGACTTCACTGATCCCACTGACTTTTGCAAGGCCTGCAGGATTTAGTCCAACGCACTATGAGTGTTTTCCTTCAGGACATGTGCATTTGTACATTTTTAACATTAATAGGACACCCCTAGAGAGGCAGCGGCTAATGCTCCGGTATTTGGTTGCACTCCACTTTTCCACCCAAAGCATCTCCTAGTGGAGAATGACTACATAATCATCGAAGGCCAATTCCTAGTCTTGCTGAAGTCAATGGGAGTTTGCTACTGAGCGAAATGGGCTCAGGTGTTGTTCCTGTAGAATAACCAGGTGGTGCACAGTGATGATCTAACTACAGTCTTCAGGGAATTTTTTTAAAATCACAGGGCTTTAGTGGTGCAGCTCCCAACGACCTCCATGGGAGGCAGGCTGCAGCTGCTAAATCCCCACACAAAGCTTTATAGAATAGCTTCACAGTGGGATCCGCTGCAAAAGTAAGCTCTACATTAAATGCACAAAGGCCAAAAATAGCTTGTTTTGAAAGCTCTTTGCTGCGATGTTAACATGGTCCCTTGGCAGGTCTTGCAAATGTAAGCATTCTGCACTCCATGCAACAACTTACAGACACAGGTATATTTTACAGAGTTCCTCTCCTCTTCTCCCATCCCAGACTCTGTTAGTTTCTTCCTTCTCCCTCTGGCCTTTCTCCTTCTCCTCCTCTGTACTTGCTGTTTTGATGAGATTGTTTTCCCTTATAACTACTTCCTATCACCTCAAGAGCATTGAGTGGAGTTGCTGGCACTAAAAAAAGCATTTGTCCTTGGCAACATATGGTGCCCAATTGTGATGCTGCCAGTAACTGTTTTTTTTCATGGGCATTTCTAGCACTTGATTAGAAAGTCTTTACAATGTTATGTTCTGCATCAGCATGCAGTATCAGCATTTGAATCTTGTATTTTTGTAGCACTTCGTTCTTGCATGGGTAAGTAACCTCCACACCCCAGCCATACTTCCTGCCAGTGGAACGCTTATTTCCTCTCTTGATACACAAACTTAACTCAGCGGAAGGGTGGCGGTGCTTTCAGAGCAACGGCTCCAACTCTGATGTGCTTCAGAAAGATTTTCTGAAGTGCTTGCCCTGGTTTACATGAGGTGAAGGAAAGTCACTTCTGCTTGAAAATCAGGATGGGATCTTTCATGTCAATAAGCAGAACCTTTTTGTCATTTCCCTATGCATGGTTTCGAAAAATAAATAGGGTGAAAAATAACTCCTGCCTTTCAAGTGTGTGGGGGGAGGTGGAATTTACAAGGGGTAGTTAGCCCTCTGGCACAAGGGAATCCATGCAGAGGTGGGGCAAGAAGGTTTGGTCTGCTCATGTGCTGAGGGAACCCTATTGCTAGGGCCCTACCAAATTCACGGTCCATTTTGGTCAATTTCACAGTCAGGATTTTAAAAATCATAAATTTCATGGTTTCAGATATTTAAATCTGAAATTTCATAGTATTGTAACTGTGAGGGGTCCCAACCCAAAACAGTGCCCTGGGGGTGGAAGGTGTGGCAAGGCTATTGTAGGGGGGTCATGGTATTACCACCCTTATTTCTGTGCTGCTGCCTTCAGAGCTGGGTGGCCGGAGGGCAGCAGCTTGTCAGGCGCCCTGCTCTGAAGGCAGTGCCACTGTCAGCAGCAGCGCAGAAGTAAGGGTGGCAATGCCATACCATGCTGCCCTCACTTCTGCGCTGCTGCTGGCGGCAGCGCTGCCTTCAGAGCTGGATTCTTGGACAGCAGTCAACTCTCTCTAGCTGCCCAACTCTGTGAAATCTGGTCTCCCCTACAATAGCCAGATTTCATGGAGGAGATCAGATTTCAGGGTCCACAACGCATTTTTCACAGCTGTGAATTTGGTAGGGCCCTACCTATGGCGGTTCAACTCCCACTGCCTGCATAGAGGGGGGGGATGCTATCTCCTTGGCACCATTCCTAGTCACAAGCTTCATAAAAGCCCTTCTGCATTATCTCCATCTGGAAGGGGGTGGAGCTAGAGGTTAGTGGAGCAGGGAAAGCTGCTGTGCTCCAGGGCAGTCTCCTCCTCAGCCCATGAGCAGGTATCCAAGCAGGTGTCCTAGCCGGAGCTGATACGGGCAGCATTAACCCATGCAGATTCCCTTTCATGGCTGCTATTGAATAGCCACAAGGGGACTCCGGTGCGTGTATTAGCGTGCAAGCAGAGCGAGGGCCTTACGGCTTGTCTGCGTGTGAAAGTTGTACAAACCTGCCCCCTCCATGTAGATACAGTTATACCAGTAAAACAGTGCTGATACCAGGATAGCTTATTCCCGTATGGGAAGGAGACTAAACTATACCAGTGTATGGCACCTTTGCACCAGTATAACTGCATCCACGCTGGGCATGACATGGGGATTAATTCCAGAGTTCATGGGCATGTTGAATTTCATTCATCGCTGTTGCCACTGGCTATAATGGCACTCCGGGCACATTCAGACATCATGAATTTACTACACTGGAAAGACTTTTAGCCAGAGAGGAAAGGGCCAATGAGTGAGTGTAACTGTAATTTATGTCCATTTTAAGGCTACTTGATTCTCAGGTACCAGTGTAAAGGGACTTGAAGGTACCTGAGAATCAATCCCATAGTGTAGGCAACTACCATGATTTGTCAGTAGGGCAGTTAACAAAACTGCAACAAAATTCAAAAAGAGATGTCCTCCCCCACCCCCCGTTACACCGGCAGGTAACAGTTGTTTTCAAGCTGTGCCTCCTTCACAATTATGCAACTCTCCCAGCTTCAGCTGAGAGACAATTATTTGCCCCATCACTGCCCACTGTTTTAATGCTAGAGCAAGCAGTCCATGTAGCACAGCACAAATTGTTTGGTAAATGCTTGATGTGCAAATAAAATGGAATTGAAAATTCTGACTCTGCTAAAGCAAGTGAAACCCAACTAACTTTCGCCTTCTTACTTGCAGATTCCACCAAGAACGGACTAGGGACATCGCAGCTTCTGCGTGTTGCAGAGAAAATGACTGTCAGCCCAAGTTCAACACAAGCGATAGTGCACCTATTAAACAATTACTGCCAGAACATAACGTTCCAATACATACAGTGAGTACAATACATGTTGTTGAGGTCTATAGACATGATAAGGATATTTATAAGAAACTCATCTCTCGTATACCTGGATAATCAATGTCAGAAACAAATAATTTGCTGTGTTGGACCAAAATGAAATATGGTTAGAAATATGTGCCTTAAAGACTGCATAGAAAACTACTTAATTATTCTTATGAATCTGAAAATTTTATACATCAAGATTATTTTAAAATGCTTCCAGATTTAACTTAAATAAAATAATGAATGTTGATGCTTACAATAAGTAGCCATTCTCTACAAAGTGCTAAATATCATGGCAAGAATATAATATTCTCCTGTACATACCATAGAGAGAAATGGTAACCATTTGTATATTTGCTTCATGTAAAGTCTCTGACAACAACTACACATTCATATGACTGCAAACTTCTTTTAACCTGCGTTCTTTTTGTAACCATGCCAGAAAAAAAAACGTATTTTTGCACACTAGTCTGAGAATTACAATAAAGATTTCTTTTTAATGAAAAAGCATTGTCATTTTATTTGAGAATGGCATTACTAGTTAACTCACGCATTCTAGGTATATACAGGACCTCATTGTTCATATTAGAATATATGTGTTCTTGTTTTTCCAGTTTGGATAATTAAGGAACTGCTCTGGCTCTTATTCTGTAGTTACAATATAGTTGTTCTCCACGTTCAAACAGAGTTCTTATTTGTTCTCTCATCAGAAAAATAATAGGAATTGTTGCCACTTTCCAGCCCTTATAAAATATGATTGTAAGGCAAGCCCTGACAATAGACTTAATTTGTGACCTCATTATGAAGAATTCAGACGTTTAACTACATCCTTCCCCCCCCCCACCAAATTTTGAAAGACTTAGTTATTTTCATCAGCTCAGATTGTTGCAGTTTGCCGAAGAATCTAGAAAAACCCTACTTCATTTTGGCCCCAATTCAGAAAAGCACTTAAGCATGTGCTTGACTTTAAACACACGTTTAAGTCCCACTGAACGATGTTAAGCACATGCTTATGTGCTTTGTTACATCGAGCCTTTTGGTGGCCGTGATGACTCTAGGAATTCTGCAGCTGAGTGGGCATGCCCGTTTGTGGTCTGATCAGTGCTCTCTGAGTATTGCACAGCACACTCTGTTCCCATTGACTTTATTGGGAGAGACAAACACTCAGTCTCCTGCGGGAAGTTCTCAGCACCTTGTTGGATATAGCCCTTGTCATTTCACCCATAATGCTCCTCCAGCTCTCAGCTGTTTCATCATATTGCTAGTGGGTAAGAGGCCCAAAAGCGCCAAAGTCCCTGTGACAAAGTGGGAATTTTCTTAAGGTTTTGTATGGATACGGTGTGTGCCTCAGTTTCCCCTATGCACGGTTAACTAGGTGGTGGGAAAAGGTGGTTTATTCTTTGTAGTGATCCAGGTGTGACTGATGACTGGCTGTCTGGGGTCCCATGCCCATGACAAACCCAGAGGACAATGGCTCGGATATTTGGTGCCTAGCAACTAACGACCCAGGACTGCTGATGCCCTCTCCAGAAAGCTAACCAGTTTTGGCCAGCGGGAGAACAAAGAACTGAGATGGATGGCCAGGTGACCTGTTCTGCCCGGGAATCAGAACCAAGGATGGTGAAGGGGCCCTTGGGTGTGGTTAGTGTGGGCTGCTGGAAGCAGGACACATGATTCTGCACTGGGTCTCAAGGGGGGGTGAGACAGAGAGCTCTGGGCTCAGGACTGACCCAGATGGACTTTGCTGTAACTTTCTATTCTCAATGCTAAGAACTTCCTACGCTGTGTTCCAGACATCTAATAAACCCTTCCGTCTGAGAGTCACTCCAGTCTGAAGAGGTCGGGGGTGCATTGCTCCCTTTGCATGTGCGAGTCTTCCCCAGGGGTCCACGTCGAGTGGACTCACTGAGGGGAGCTCATGGACTCAGCAGAGGTGCTGAAGGCTCCAAGATTCAGATCCAGGAGGTGGTGAAGCTAAGGGGCTTACCCCAGCGAGTGTGTGGGAGCACTGGACCTGTAGATCCGTGACAGTCCCATTTTCAAAAGTGACTGAAGCTCTTAGGGCCAGATTTTTAAAGGTATGTAGATGCCTAACCCCCACTGAAATTCTCACGTAAATACCTTTGGGATCTGCGCCTTAGGTTCTTAAGTCACTTAAGTATTTTAGAAAATGTTACTGAGTGTGTAATTTCTGGGAATACAACAAAAGATTTATTGATGAGTTTTAAGTTTTTTATGAATGTACACAGCTTCCTTTTGTTGGCCTTCCAAGTTAGAATAGTGCAAGGTTTTCCCCCTTTCAGCCCTCCATGCTGGAGTCACGGGCTGTAAGCTGTAATGTTCTCCTTAACCTCTGAGGATAGGACAAGAAGCAATGGGCTTAAATTGAAGCAAGGGGGGTTTAGTTGGACATTAGGAAAAACTTCCTAACTGTCAGGGTGGTTAAGCACTGGAATAAATTGCCTAGGGAGGTTGTGGAATCTCCATCATGGGGGATTTTTAAGAGCAGGTTAGACAGACACCTGTCAGGGATGGTCTAGATAATACTTAGTCCTGCCATGAGCATAGGGGAATGGACTAGATGACCTCTCGAGGTCCCTTCCAGTCCTACACTTCTATGAATGGGCTAGGCCATCAGCGGTTATTTCACTGGGCTGTAATGTTTATGGGCAGACTCCTGCCATCCTCATTAAATCCAATCTCCTGTTCATTTTAATGGGAATCTGCACTGTGTAGGGATTTCAGGATTTAGCTCACTGTAGTTTTAACTTTACCACGTGACTTTCAGATGCTTTAATATGATTTAGAGCCAACCAGGGGAAAACCACATTCACTGGTTTGTGACACCAATGCACAGCACAAGAAGGGAGCTCAATCACTAGGTTTGACAAACCAGGCCAGTCTGAGTAATGTTTGCTACAGAAAGTAAAAACTCTGGAGGTTAAGACCATTGATAGCCATGAGAGACAACAGAGAAGCCAGGTAGATTTACTATCTCAGTGCTGGAGCATTTGATTACTATCATTTATTTAAGCAATCTAGTGCAATAGGCAGCAAAGTTATAACAAGACAAAGGAACAACACCCATAGCGTTTTATGAGAATTGTGGTTCTGGTACCCCTGGGAATGTGTTTAGTTTATGATAATGATGCCCCCTGGAGTTGGCTTTATTGCTCATGTAAAAATTATTTATCATCAGAAGGAAAAGGAGTGCACTGCAGGAAGAAGATGAAAGCAGTTGAGAATATTAAGCAGACATTTAAAAAATCATGTTTATTAAATTAACTCCTTAGAATTTTTACGAGCTAATGAGTTTAAATAGATTCATACTCTCATCTCTGTGCTATAGAACAACTCCCAAGGGGTGTTTCACATTGACTTGTATATTTTTAATGAACTGGCAGCTTATGCTTAAAAAAGCTAAATGCTTCTAACTTGTAAAAGAACCCCCATGGATGTATACTTATGAATTGTTTAATTGCTATACGTGACGATAAGATAGGATAATTCTAAATGGCACATGAATACCAGTGAACTTTCTTTCTTGTATTCCTTCACTGAGAATGGTTTAAAACTGCTTTCCTAATGCAAGCCAATGTACTGAGACAGCCCAAGTCACACTGTTCGATTGCTAAGCTTAGGCTGCCTACAGAAAGCCAAAAGGATGGTTTTAAGATCTTCCAGTAAATAGCAAGAGGTGGTGTTGTCTAAGCCAGCTGGTATAACTCTTGCCATGGGAATCAAGAAAGCTGGTTCTCTGAGATAAATGGAAGAGAAATCATTTGCCATGCTAGAAACATGAAGAACCTGAACCTGTGAAGTGCTGAGTGCCAGTCAAGAGCACACAGCCACTCGCAGGATCATGCTCCTAGCAAGTACTTGCCTGTTGCCAAAGGGACTGTCCAGATTCATTTTGGGGGGCAAAGACAGCAGTGTTGCCAACTCTTGTGATCTGATTGTGAATCTCACAATACTTGGTGGGTTGTTGTGGTTTTTTTTCGTGGAGCCAGGCGACTCCAAGGGAATCTTGCCTTTCATTTAAAAATGAAGTGGGTTTTGAGCCCTCATAGTTGCAGAGAAAGAAACCTGAAAACAAGAGTCCTAGGGGGTCTACAGCTAGAAGGCAAATAGAAAGAACCCCAAATGTATTCTTTTTCAATCTCATGATTTGGCGGGGGCAGGAGGGCTGACTGACATTTTTGTACACTTGGGGTTGCCAATCCTATGTGTGTGTTTGAAGAATATACTTGGGGGGGGGGCATTTTTCTCAAGGTAGCCTACACCCAATTGAAGAAGTGAAGTGTTTAAATAAACATTAGAGTATTAGCAAAAAGAAGGAGGAGTATTTGTGGCACCTTAGAGACTAACATCCTGATTATCACTACAAAAGTTTTTTTTCCCCTGCTGATAATAGCCCACCTTAATCAATTAGTCTCGTTATAGTGGCTATGGCAACACCCATTTTTTCATGTTCTCCGTGTGTGTGTGTGTGTGTGTGTGTGTGTATCTATCTATCTTCCTACTGTATTTTCCACTGCATGCATCTGATGAAGTGGGCTTTAGCCCATGAAAGCTTATGCTCAAATAAATTGGTTAGTCTCTAAGGTGCCACAAGTACTCCTCCTTCTTTTTGTTGATACAGACTAACACGGCTGCCACTCGGAAACCTGTCGTTAGACTATTGACTAGCGTGCAGGCATTTCCTCCATAGAGCTTTGTAAATGAATATTTGAAAGCCTGCTGAATGACCTGTTCTTGTGCTCTCTTCGGAGGAATTAAACGATACCGTTTTCCACTGTGTGCTTTGCCGCTCTGAAACAATGGAGAATGCTCCCTGTTATGCAGTACGATAATTACAAATTTATTTGGGACACGATGTATCTGAGAGAGAGAGAGAGAGGCCTTTGCAGGACACAGAAAAGAGAAAGGGCTGCAAAACCAAGAATGTGGAAACATACAAGGCATGGCTGACATTTAAGTAAGAGAAGACAGGCCTGGGAAGGCAGGGAGAGATCAGAGCACCCGTGCATTTACGGAAAACACTGTATATCTGACCAGGGAGAGGAGAGAATGCTTCTGTGCATGAGACTTTTTGTTTTTGCATGACTCGTGAGTGATTTTGCTTCTGGAACGTCTCAGGCATCAATGATTTGCGGGAAGCAGAATGAGCTGCTTCTGTTACAATCAGATGTAAACAGCTTGCACAACTTTTCTTTATACATTGACGTGCAGCACACGTTTGTAATAACTTTAATTAAGAGGTAGACTTAATTGACTCTCTACTTGAAGAAAG